CAATTATTGACATCATCGTCATAACCAGCGTGTAATCAACGTATCCAGCTACATATTACTGACTTTTCAACTGACTAACCATCATCATCGTTATAACAATCACCATTGTCATTTCATCATCATTATCATCTTCTTCATCATCATCCTCATCATCGCCATCATCGTCAGTGTCATCAGATTCACGTTCACGTTCGCAGACAAGCGTTCACGCCAATAACGTCGACTACTTTTTATCAATGTTCTTCGTCATGTTGTTGTTGCTGTTGCTGCCCGTGACGTAATCATCATGATGATGGCAACGATAATGGTGATGATGGAAGTGATGTAATGATGACTCTCATTTACTCACTCACTCACTCACTCACTCACTTCACTTTCTCAGTAGCCACAACACCGCCACTACCACACCACACATGCACTTTGTTGGAATTCTACTTTTGTGGTTTCATTCGGAGCATAAATTCTATTGAACTAACATTAATTGATCAACTTTGTGTGTATGTGTATGTGTGTATGTGAATGTGTGTGTTTGTGTGTGTGATGTGTGTGTGGTGTGTGTGTGTGTGTGTGTGTGTGCAAGTTTTGAGAGAGCAGCAGGGAAATGAATCATCATCTTGTCGTTTATTTGTCGTTGTTGGTTTGATGTCTGTTGTTGTTTGGTGTATTAGTTTTGCTTTGTATGGGTTGTTGTTGTTAATGTCATATTTTTGTTTGTGTTTATCGGCTGTTGTTGCTGAGTTTTTGAGCTTAAGTGTATCTGATTCTTCGTTGCAACTGATACGTCGTTGGCAACGGATATATGTAAAAAAAATGTTCGGGTTGTTGTTGTCGTCATTCAACTGAAACTTTTGATTGGCCAACAACAAATTGTTTGCTACACCACATTCCACCCAGCCACCCTAACCATAAACCTACCTACCCACCTACCCACCCACCTACCTGCCTACCGGCATATGAAACATACATCAGATGGGATGATGCTTGGCTTGGCGATGCAGGCTGTTCATTTTCCCCCTTAATAAATCATGCACGCCAATATTAGGACAAATGTGAACAGTGGAAGAAGCATCAAACATTGGAAGGTTCCCTAGGGTCTTCATCGCCTTCCAACAAATTTCACTCGCAAGCATCTACCCATCCTGCTAAATCTTAAAACTGATTTCAATAGTTTATATATTCTAACAACAGAATTAATGCATTTATTTCATTCAAATGGTTTAATTTAACTTCAAATTTTAATATTTTACTCATTTTTTATGCTAATCGTCATTAAATTCACAATTACTTACGTTGCAGTTGATTAGCATGGTTAGGTTTTCATATGCAAAAGTTGAGTTTTATTATATCTAGAGAGAAAATTGAAAATACAAGCCCTAGATATTTGTGTTCATTGCTTGTTATTGGAAGAACGTCTCGGGCAGTTTGTGTGGCAGCAGTTGATGATGGAGATCTGTTGAGTTTCATTTGGTAGATATTTAGTGTCATTATTCATTTAGCTCTTATTTGGTCATTTGAGTAAAAATACATTTTGCGAAACATACGAACATAACATACATAACATACACACATACATACATGCAGGCATACTTGCAACACGTACATACAAAACATTCATTCATTCGTTCGTTCGTTCGTTTGTTCATTTATTCATTCATTCATGTACAAGGTTCATTTCATGACGCGGTAAATTTTACAAAATTTTAATTTTTATTAACTAAATCAAAAGAGCTCAATCGAACGCATGTGCCGATTGAGCATGTTCCCCAACTGACAACAGGCGCGTATATCCGATCGACCTGGACCAATGATTGCCCGCCAGACCATCATCGCCAGACAAACAACTGCATCAGCAGCCAACTGGCAGACGAGCAATGAATGCAGGATGTTCTATCCTCGACAATTAATTCTAATTTTTCTTCAATTGCTTCAAAATTATAAAAAAAAAACTTTTTAACTGTTTTTAATAGGCGTGATTATTTCATGACTTCATATCATGTTTTATTTCTTTCTATCTTCATCTTTTGAACGTCCTTCAAGTTAATTTCAACCGTGATAGTTTAATTAATTGCACCGCACCAAACATCAACGACAGCAATCAACTTATCAGAGATGCATAAAAAGGTCGAGTGTTGTTGAGTGATAACTCAATCAAAAGTTATAATGTGTGCATCTGAATGAGTACGTGCATGTCTGTCTGTCTGTGTGTGTGTGTGTGTGTGTGTGTGTGTGTGTGTGTGTGTGTGTGTGTGTGCATGTCTGTCTGCCTGCCTGTGCAGATGAACATACAAATATTGTTCTCACTAAAAATGTTAAGATACCAGGTTGGATGGGTCGGTGATGACGAGCGGCAACTGATTCGCGTCCTTTCTTCATTGTTTTCATAACACAATGGTTGTGCTGCCTTGAAATTGTTGTAAAATTTCGTGAATGCGTTTTCTTATTTAGTAATCCATTTTTATGAAAACTGTCGGAAGTTTATAAAAATTTAACCGTTCCCAGATCTGAACATCGAATAACAATTTCAACTGAACATGTGACTCGGGGCATGGTTGTACTTAAGAGTACCTTCATGCACAATGATATAAACCATAGATGTATATAGATACTAACTACATCGAGACGTCCATGTATAAACCCACAATTGGTACAATGAAACGCTACATCAGTTGAAAAGTTAGAAGCATTTATTTGATACGAGACAGTGGTGTCATGTTGTTTATTGAATTAAACTCTGTCTTGTGTTGACTGTTGCTTGCATCGTGTTTAAGTGCTGTGGTTGTTTGTTAACTGTTGAACGTTCACACGGATGGCTTTGCAATGATATAAAATAGGTAATATCTCATAAATAGTTCGAATCCAATTTTTAGTTGTTGCAATGAAAAGAATAATTTTCTTTGATGTAATGAAAATAATAAGAAAGTTATAACAGTAGCAATGATACTAACAAAAAACAATAGTAATAATAACAAAATTATTAATGTCAGTTATAATAAACTTATTAACATTATTAGCCTGGCAATGATAAGAATCGGTAAATTCAAAATGACGATGATGATGAAGATGATGAGGATAAAGATGATGAAGAGGTGGAAGAGGTGGAAGAGGTGGAAGAGGTGGAAGAGGAGGAAGAGGAGGAAGAGAAAAAGGTGAAGAAAAAGATAAATGACGTAAAATCAATTAAGCAAATTGTTTATAATGTTAAGTCATCTCGTCATTCATGCCACGACATCAGCAAGACATATTTCTGTGTCTTCAACTGTCTGCTTCTGTATGTGTATGCATGTGTGTATGCTTGCTTATATGTGTGTGTGTGTGTGTGTTTATGTTTGCATGTATGTATAATACATATATTAATTTATCTAATGAATCATTAACTTATTTTATTATTTTTCTATTTACTTTTAACAATGTTTATATGTAACATACAAGTTTATGTAACCCAATTAGGTACAGTTAAGTTTCAACTACATGCATCGAAAACATGTACATACAAGTAAAAGTAAGTACACCATAGTACAACCAAACACGCATAAGTTCATCTGTACTGAATAAAAGTATCAAACAACAACATCAGCACGGATGACATGCGCCAAGCGGAAGTACTCAAAATGCAAGTTTCGAACAAAAATACTTCTGCGATATTCTTCACCAAGTACGCATGCATGTACACACTCGTGTACACTCATGTACACGTACGTACAGACATGCATGGATTCGGAATGTGATTTGTTGCTTCGATGACTGCCACACATTCAAATATCTACAAGGATAACATTTGCACAAAATAAGCAAAAAAATATATATGTATAATGGCGTATAAAACTATGTTAATGATTCTTGTATGCTTCATAATTTTTTAATGTTTTTTGGCAACAGTTTATGCAAAATTCAACAAATTAGTAACAACGATTGTGATAAGAAACAGTTGATGTTTATAACGATGATAAAGTTGGTGGTGATTGCAATGATGACGATTATGACGACGATGATGATGACGTTGTTGTTGTTGATGATGATGATGATGATGACGTTGTTGTTGTTGATGATGATGATGATGATGACGTTGTTGTTGTTGATGATGATGATGATGATGACGTTGTTGTTGTTGATGATGATGATGATGATGACGTTGTTGTTGTTGATGATGATGATGATATTGGGAAAGATGAGAATAAAGCAATTAGAAATGACACCAGATACGGGGTTGAAAGATACAACAATTCCCGAGAACAACAACCATCAACTACATCCTACAGGATGACGTTTGGAATTTATAATATTAAAATCGGCGCCAAAATATCCCCAATCTCAGCCAGCCATCACTGTGTATCATGTATCACTTATATATCAACTGTTTACACAAACACACGCACACGCACGTACGTAAAAACACGCACACGTAATTTTTCTAAATCCGTGAAAAGTTTAAAATTTTGCGAACACTGCTTTACGTGTGAAATGGAAAACATTAAAAACCAGGAAGGAGCAAACATTTTACCAAGATATTGCAGTGTAGTTGATAATGCACTTGATGAATATCTAATTAATTTTTAGACAATAAAATGACAGATAAATAATTAGGTGATGAAGATGATTGAGTACATTTGCATAAACCCAACTGTGGATACAGACGCGTCAGCGTTTTGAATGAATTATAAAACTTGACAATTTTAAACGTTCTTAAAATAAGTGGGATGATCTAACTTCAAACTTTGTTAAGATCAGCTGTCAGAAATTGGACAGTCTTTGCCATTCAGTCTAACTAGAGTTGTGTAGTTTTTGGATTTTCTTCGAAGGTAGTGCATTTGGATTTTTGGAATGAGATGAAATTAGCATACGAATGAATCTGTTTGATGCACTGATTAATGTTTTTCAATTTCTTATTTAAAATTTTAACATTACAAAATATATGCATTTGCTCTCGTGAGGTTAATAATAGGTAAGATGTGACAGTATATTTAAACAAGATATTTGAACAATATATTCCAAGGAATTTGTAATAAGCAGGTGAAGTTGCATGTTGCGAGAAATTATTCAGAACTAGTTAATAAACTGCTGACAGCCAACAACATATTAATCTAGTGCACTGGTTAACTTAATTAGTCATTGTTTCAATCAAACATGCATTTGAACGTGTTCACCATATACATTGTACATTGTACAGTAAGTTGGTACGCACTGAACTTGCAACAACTACAAAGTTTTAATTAACAACGACTGCGTTTGTGTTGTGACGACGACGACGATGGTAACTAATTAGCAGAAGTAATGATTCGTTACTTATGTTCTTTGTTTCAACTCGCCTGTCAATTTTTTCTTCACATCACTAGAAGAACTAACGTGTGTGAAATCAATTTTTTATGAAACCTCCCCTCTCCAACACATTTTTATCTTTTACTTCATCTCCTTTTCACTCTGTTTTAATCATTTTTTTTTAAGTTTTTTATCCTTAAAAGTCTTGTATAGAAAAACACAGAACACACACACACACAACACACACAACACACACACACACACACACACACGCCGTGTAATGCCTAAATATTTGAGTAAATACATAAACACATGAACGCAAAGTTGGAAAAAAAGTATTACATACGTTGATACCCATTAAAACAGAAGTGATCTGATGATGTGTCGAGGAGTGTTTATTTTTAAATGTGAGAAAATATTTATAGAAGGTACTTGAGATATTATTAACATTCAAATGTAGATCAGCCTAATTTGCATGAAATATCTAAATATATATATAACTAACTCTATCAAGAGCTGTTGATGATAGTGAGTTTGCCACAATCAAATTTTTTTATTGATACTGTTTTTCGATGTTGTTGTGGCTGTAGTTGTTGTTGTTGCTGCTGTTGTTGTTTTTGTTGTTGTTACTTCTGAATATTAAGTAACAAATTGTTGTTGTTACTGAATAATAAATACTTTTTATTCATTTTTATCGACATGTTTCAGAAATCTGATTGCCATATGCATTTTTGAGAACATAAATATAGAAGTATAAAAACGTAAGCTTTCGCTATAGCTGTCCTAGGATGGCCTCATCTAAAAATTAACACTGAATAGTTTCATTTATGTTCGATTTAGAAGTACTTAGAGCATAAATTCAACAAACGCTTGATATTTTTGCAAAATATTTGTTTTCAAGAATTCAAATCACAAAGATTTTTTTTCTATTGCAACATTCTACGTTAATCACGTTAAACCATTGAAGAATGCAAACAATCGGGCGAATGTATCATCATACGACGTCACGCGCTAATAAATGTTAATTAATTCGATGAAGTAACTAAGAGTTAGTTATTTTTGCCTTTCATTGCAATTTTGATTTTATTATGTATGAAATCAGGAAAACCCCAGAAGCATACTCCGACATTAATGTGTCTACGTGTTTTAAAGTTTCGGTCAAACGTTCGTCATTTTAACTTGCTGGATCTCATTTTGAAGCATAAGTTTAATTAATTAACTGATTAAGACTTATTTTTTTAATACAAGCTCAAAAGCGTATCCAGGGATGAGATGTACCCCCTCCTCTAACTAAACCTTGAAATAAGAAGTAAACATTAAGCATTCTGTGTAAAACAAAAAAATTTTGAAAATCACCATCTCCACCTAAACGAGAATTTCGAAAAAAAAGAAAACTTCAAAAATTTGAAATCGTACTCACCTACCGCCGCTAAATTCTGGATCCGTCACTGCTCAATCTCAATCTATATTCGATGATGAATAACAGTTCTTCTTAAAAAACTTCACACAAATAACTAACTACTGATTGAAACTTAACTGGCTGAATGCTATTCACAAAGTTGGGAAAGTTTGAATAAATCTGTTTCATTCCGTTCATCTAGCTTGCTATCTTCATATATTGCCGCTTGTTTTATGTTGACAATGTAATAATTTGGCAGTTTTTGAAGTAGGGAACATGGGCCCGAGCACACACAAGTTTGTCTGTCTGTATGTGAGTGAGTGTTTGGGTGTCTGTACGTTAGTGAATATTTATGTGTTTGTACGTGATTGAATGTTTGTGTGTCTGTATGTGAGTGTCTGTGTGAGCCCTTGTTCTTTAATTGAAAATATAAAATATAATACAGGACAATGCAAGTAAGCAGCTACATACATCATACACTATACGTAAGGTATATAATAGGAAGCTTAAAGCAGTTAACATTATATTGATAAGAATATTTCAAGTATATTTCATAAAGAGCTATATTATTATTTGTTGTGCTTGGCTGTTTGTTGCTTGTGATGCCTTTGTGAATGAATATTGAAAGTATGAATATAAATGTTACGTGTTAGCTAGAGAGTAACATATAGCGTTAAGAATGTATGCACTTGCTGTTTTTGACGTCTTTCAACTTTTCTTCTAGCAGTATGACATTTGTTTGTTTGTGTTTGTTTGTGTATGTGTGCGTGTGTGTGTGTGTGTGTGAGTGCGTGTATTCGTGTCATTGTTGAATGCAGTTCTTATTCAGTGTTCATTCTGTGGTAGCATGCATTTAGTTAGCACTGCCTGCGTCCATTGTTGTGACACAATTATTTGAGTTTGAAATATTTTCTGCCATTTACGATCTTCTTCTTGGATATTATTTCTCGTTATTTATTTTAAATTCAATTGAAAATGTATTAATGTGTAAGTGCACTGCACAGATATATTACTATAATTCCTTTGTTATAAATTCACATTCATATTCAACAACATAGTAAGTTTAATTCTACGTTCAACTATTTTTTCCCATTCATGTTGCAGACCGCTTGAACTTCCTGCCAACGTTTCAAGAGAAAACAATGAAACATGATTCTTCAGAAGTGTAGCATCAACATGAGCGGATTTTTATAAAATTTAATAAAAATATTTTGTTGATTGTTGAGTAACATGAATCTGTTAAAATGACTGTCGATAAGTGTATTAAAAACTTTTTGACGTTGTATTCGAACGGATTAACTAGCAGCATCAGTTACGAAAAAACGATTTTGAATTTTTTAAAACTACATCGTTCAACGCTGTTCATCCTACTGCTTCTAATAACAGGTATGTTTCAACCAGCGAATTCTCTACAGAAAGCAAAAGTTTTGAATTTTGAGGTATACGAAGAACAACCAGTTTCAACGTTTGTGGGCGACGTGAAGGAAGCGTCGGATTTGTCATCCACCTTATCTCCAGAAGAAATAAGTCGTCTACATTTCCACATAAAACATGCTCACGGTCTGTTTGTAATAGGTAAACAAGATGGAAAAATATTAACCAATCAAGTACTGGACAGGGAAACAAAATGTGCTGAAACTACTGACACGTGTGAACTGAGTTTTGAAGTAATTGCTAAATCTAGTCAACATCATAAATCATACAATGTCATTGTCAAATTATTGGACATCAATGATCATGCACCTCAATTCGCGAAAGACCAATTCACGTTAAACATTACTGAGACGGCCGTAGAGGGCAGTAAGTTCAGTTTACCGAACGCCGAAGATGGTGACGTCGGGTCGAACGGATTGCACACGTATTCAATTTCAAGTGAATCCAATCTCTTCCAACTAGTCATTGTGGAGCAGTTTGATGAGAAACAAATAAAACTGAAGTTGGTGGGAAAGCTGGACAGGGAAAAACAAGAAGCATACTCACTCATCGTGACCGCTGCAGATAATGGACAGCCACCCCTCTCTGGCTCCATGACAGTCAACATTAACGTCCTCGACGCCAACGACAACAGTCCAAAGTTTACAGAGCCAACTTACTCTATCCAAGTTCCAGAAAATATAGCCGTTTCATCAAGACTTCTAACGATCAAAGCTGTAGATCCAGACACGGGAATCAACGGACAAGTTGTTTACAGCTTTCCAGATAGAATAAACAAAATGTATGGAAACCTATTTGAAATTAATTCCAATACTGGTGAAATTTTTACAAAAGGTGAATTGGACTATGAAAAAAACAAAAATTACGTTTTGACTGTTCAGGCGGACGACGCCGGGGTCGGCTCGCTTCCGAATTTCACTCTTGTTACTGTCAACGTCACTGACATCAATGACAATTATCCTGTCGTTGTAGTTAGTGCATTGACAGATACGGGCACTCCTAGCATCGAAGAAAATCAAAAACTTGGAACATTTGTTGCTCACATAACTGTTAGTGACGCTGATAGTGGAGTTAACGGAGAAACGAACTGTCACATGGAAAGCGATCATTTTAAGATGGTCATGCAGCCAGAAGGTGATTATCTAATTTTGTCGTCAGTAAAATTTGACAGAGAAGCAAAATCTTCATACAGAATCATTTTAATATGTAAAGATAAAGGAACACCGCCTCTTGAAAGCCAAAAGGAGATCCAAATTGATATCGTTGACCAGAATGATAACGCTCCAGTTCTTCCCAATTCAGACAACATAGACGTCTACGTTTACGAAAATAATCCTTTGAATTTCATCATTACGAAAATTAACGCAAGCGATGTGGACGCGGGTAGAAACGCCGCACTGCATTATTCCATCGAAGCGATCCCAAAATCGGAGACCAATGTTCTTAGCATCGATCCGTTGAATGGAAAGATAAGTTCAAAGATAATGTTCGATTACGAGAAGGAGACGGAGTATAAATTTTTGATAACTGTATCGGATAGAGGAACGCCTTCGTTCTCAGCCACTGCAACGTTAAATCTTCACGTGCTTGACATTAACGATGAAGCTCCAAAATTTGACAAACCCTCATATTATTTGAGCGTTCAAGAGAACAATCCCATTGGATCGTTAGCTGGATCCGTCCTTGCTACAGACGCTGATGCCAGTCCGTCCTTCAATAAAATTCTTTACAAAATTGTTTCGAATGATGATGCTTTTGAAATTAATGAACAAACAGGAGAAATTAAAAATTTGAAAAGACTTGATACTGAGGAACAATCACAGTATAAATTTCAAGTTGTAGCTTCAAATTCTGGCATACCCGTAGTTGAATCCAAAGTTAACGTGACAGTGTACGTAGATGATGTTAACGACAATGCCCCAGTTTTTATTTTTCCGAGTACTGAAGCCGAAAGCGTAGTTCAAGTACCATCGGACGCCAAGCCAGGAACTTTAATTATTCGTCTAGTGGCCACAGATGCCGACAAAGGCGCCAATGCTGAGTTAGTATTCACTATATCAAATGGGAATGTTGACAACTCGTTTGTCATCGATCCAACCACAGGAGTTATAACTGTGGCCAAACCTTTGAAGAGTGCTGACAAACAGGACCAAGCCCACCGATTGGTCATCAGTGTCTCAGATTTAGGTAATCCACCTTTAATGAGCGTTGCTGACTTGACAATAATTGTTAATTCAAGTTTAAATGCGAAAGATGATGCATCGCTGGCACTGACTGGCAGGTTATCAGAGAAGCACATCATCCTCCTAGTTGCCATTATAGTGGCCGTGTTTCTGATGTTGATTTGCGTTATATTAGTTGTCATATGTTTGAGTAGACGATTGAAGAAAAGAAAGAGAAGTGACAAAAGAGGAAATTATGTGTCCACAAAAGTGTTAGACGTTTACGACGGAGACTCAAGTAAAGGTTGTCGCTCACCGAATTGTAACAACGAAACGAATGTCTCAACAATGGACTGTAGAAAAATTGGCGGTGGAAGCAGCTCAGCTACCGTTGACACGGCCTCTACAAAATCAGAAGGGGTCTGCAACTGCAACACGCGAGGAGATATGGGCCCACCTCCAAATATAATGAGTGCGGTGTGCAGAGGAGAGGAAGATGAAGATGAGGTGGACATGGAGATGTGCAGATTTCACGATCCAAACACTGGAAATATGACAACGAGTTGGGATCCAACGCAAAACCTTCGCATCAACCAGGTTGCCAAATTGTTTTACATAATTATCATCCTTGCTCAAATTTATAAATATTTTTTGAATCAAATAAAATTAAATTCATTAAAATAGAAATCACATACTACGGCATAAATTATCTCTTTTACTACGAAGTGTTTTACAAATTATTAATATTATTATTCACAATGCCAATAAATAAATAAATAAATTTAAATAAATAAATTAATTAAAAAATCTCAGGGGGGAGGGGGAGGGGGAGGAGGAGGCAATCCAATGGACATGCACACGGGTAGGTGTAGTTCTGCCAACTGCAGAAATTTTGGATCCTCCCCGTCCTACAACTACCACCGCCACAACCACTGCAACTGCTGCAACGTACACACCTCATGTCACTCACCGATGCACCCGTGCTACCACCATTCTAATCCCCTCCAGCCGGCCCAAACCAACACCTACATGATGAGGAATAAAAGATCTCTATACTCGCCAGAATCTATGCCCGTTAGATTTTTATTAATTTGCTTTTGTTTATTTTATTTGGTGTTATCTTGCGTTGTTACATATTGCCATATCATTTGATTTTGAGTCTTGCTATGGTATATTTTGTTGTGTATAGTTGTTGAACGTTGTCTATAATTTTGCCATGTTCATGTGCCAAGCACTGATTATGATCACAAATGCAGTTCACATGGTGGTTTGATAATATTAGCAGACTTCTAGTTAATTCGTTTGAGCTTTAGTTTGCGTTTGAGATTGAAACTGAACAGCAAAAAAACAAATACAATCGTCAATGAATTATTGTTCGACTAAATGCTTTTGCAGAGTAATTAAATAGATAGATGGCGCGATAAGAAAGTGAATCAATGCTAGAAATAAATGTCATTAATTCTTTGTCGATCGAACGGGCAAACAATTGAAAGAAGAAATATAAAAATCGTTTCGTAACGTAATAGTAGTTTTGCCTGTCACACACACACACTACACACGCACACACACACGTGCACACACAAAAGTGCGTTTACGTCCAGAAAAATTTCACTGGAACAATCAAATAAGACATGACGAATAATTGCAAGATTATGTAATCGGACCATTCTAAAGCTGTTGCTGCTCGCTAGTGCTATCCAGCTTACGACAATCCATGAAAATTTTTATAACTGCTCTTTTCAATTCCTTTAAATTATGCACATCTGATGCATTTTAAGCTCATCGGAATATTTTGGATTTTGGACTGCTTATTTTTTTCAGGATGTTGTTGAGTTACCTCATATCGTCTGAATTTATATTTGTATATCTTTTAGAGAAATTTTTATTTTTTTTCAAGAGTTTTGAACCTATAAGCGATGATAATTTATCAGAATTAAAACCGTCTCAATGATTTATAATGCGAACATTGCACAGGCGATCTATTATGAAATGTGCCTTACCTTATGAAATTTCAATGAAACTCCTCTCTACTCTTCTTAAATGCTGCTAAAAATACTGCGAATTATTTATATACATACATACTTATTTATTCATTTATTTATTTTAATAAATGTTTAGCGTAGATATGCACATTGCACACGTGAAAATGATTTTTTCCATTTCCTGCATGGAGTAATAATTTAATGCCGGTGTACATTTGAATATTTCCCAGCTGGTTAGCGAGTAACAACGCTGTCTCCTCACTCAATCATCTCGGTCACGCATTATTTTATTATTTGAATGTCACATTCACCTACCTCGTTACGATAAAATCATGCATAGGATGTTTATTAGTTATTGCCATGTTTGTTTTTCATCAGTTGATCCTGTTTCTATTTGAGTTTCTGGCGCAATTTTCTATAATGAATTTTTTTTCATGTATTTAGGTGTCTTTTGTTTTAAAGAGTTGACAAGCTTTCTGCTACGATTACAAATTTGAAATGTTTTAGTCTTTTTAGCGACTGGTGTGCAAATATTCCTAATATGTTGACTATACCGAAACTCTGGTGAAATCTCAAAACAGCAAAAATGGCAAAACTTCTACGGCTATGTAGCTTAGTGTAGAATCAACAGTCAACGCAGTTTAAATATTACAAAAGGATAATCTGCACAACACATCGCACAGCATACAACTTACTTACACACACACACACCGCACACACATAGACATCTCTTCGCACATCCGCCCACAAATGACGTCCGATCTGTTGACCTTTCTGACCTGCATTGACCTCACTTGACCCAGAAACTGACAGCTAATCAATGTAATCGTTGCGTTCTTTCAATTTTGCACGCATTCATTTTGTATACTGACTAAACCAGCGTTGGATTGAAGGAATCTCAAGGTTCGATCCTTCCTGTCAGATAAAATGGCATTCTTGTTCATCAATAATATAACATTTATGTAAAAAAAATTAAAAAACTTGGAACTTATATGGTTTCAAGTTTTTTATTCAAGTGATATTCAAATTAATATTAGTTTTTAAATTTAATCCGTGAAGAAACATTTTATGAAATGTATGTCTTATACTGAGCGACAAACAAATATTTACATTAAATGATCACGACTCATTACAAATCATTCACACTGGCTCACTGACCACAACACAACACAACATGACACAACACAACGCAACATGACACAACACAACACAACACAACATGCAGTTGCAGCCGATCGGGCGTGTGGGACACAACAGGGAGGACCTGGAAAGTGTTTGTTCAGGGTCGACGTGGACCGACAGCGGCAGGGGACCCAGTGAGGAAGACGACCACGTCAAGAGTGTCAGGATTGAAAACTATCTCAGAACCACACAAGCTAAATAAGGTGAGCAAACTTTAAAATTCATTTGGTTATAAAATTTATTATATGCATATCTCATTATTATATTAAATTTGTTATCAATTTTTTCAAAGTTCCAACGCTGATGATAAAATAGTTAATAATATGTGACATTTACCTGGGATAGGTTTAATTTCATGTTAATACTAAATATCATTCACCTGATATCGTGTTAACTTGTAATATAATATCATATGAGTGTGTAGATTCTTACGTATTCCCACTTACAATGATATACGAGTCTCGACAACTGTCGGAATGGCGTCAAACAATCGTGTTATATCCTATCTACTGCTTATTGCATCGTTCATTATCACGTTTGTTACATTTTTAATTATATTTTTAATAACGCATTCGTCTTTCGTTTCTTCGCTTTGTGTGAACGTGAAGTTTGCTGCGCCTTTGTTTATCAGTGTTTCACATGCTGGTGGATTGTTTGTAACATGCATTTGTTGTTTCTGTAATTGTTAGTCTATCACATTGCTTATTTAATGTTTCATCAAGTTTTTGGTTGTCTAAGTTAATTTTTTTTTTGGTTTTTGTTAACTGAAGTTGGAAATTTGAAAATAAAAATTTAATCCATCTGAAGTTTGATGTGTGGATATAACATATTAAACTTATTTCAGTTCGTTTTCAAACTATTTTCAAGTAGACTGATATTTTAAAAATTATTTGAAGCAGCAAATTTGATTCTGAATTTATTGAATTTCAAATATTTTCAATTGCATTCATGTTCACCAACTTACGCGACATTCCAACAAACCAAATGAGGAATAAATAAAAAACCAGCAGAATGTTTTTCAAACAGAAGTAGGGCGAACTAAAAAATATTATATTTTCGGGCAAATAAATATATATTTTAGCAATTTTTATTTTTAATACGAAAAATTTTTAAATTCTCGTAAGCCTCAGGGCAGATAATAGGCTGGGAGAGACACATGACCACTACGGTCCCTCTACTGAGGTTGTTGTGGTCTGAGTGAAGTGATGCAGAAGACCGAACGCAGTGAAATAATGGAAAGAGACGTTTGTACTGTACTCTACTGTACTGTACTGCACTGTTTTGTACATACGTAGGATCGCTACATGAAATACACATTTGCGCATTCACCTAAAACACGGACAGTTCATGTCGCAGCGTAATGCTAGCAGGGACGAAAAGCACTCTTTCATGTTCAGCGACAAACAACACTCTCCCACACACACACACACACACACACACACACACACACACCACACACACACCACACACACACACACACACACACACACACGAACAAAGTGGATGTCTTGATGTAAGACGTACGTGATACAACGTGCACACTGCAGTTAATATATTTATATTAATAATATTCATAACTCAAACTAATAACTGCAACTCAGTGAAAGCAAGCGGCAAAACCAGCAACAACAACAACAACAGCAGCATAATTTAAAAATTTTAAACAATTAAAATGAAATTATCTGAAAGGTGTGGAGCAAGTAAATGAACCAGTTGGACGTCATTTCTACAGGATAATTCAACTCGAGTGTTCATTCCAACACTTCACATAATATGGTTTCTGTAACTAACTTTCCTACTTACCTCTTTAAACGCAAGGATGCTTATTTGTTGTTTGCCATTTCAAAAATGTTTCGCCAACTTGAAACTCTGAACAATTTTAGTGCATTTTGTATTGAAATATCAATATTTTATGCACTTTTCGATTAAAACTGTTTGCAATGAACAATTTTTACTTGTTTTAAATTCCATCTTTCAAGTTGGATGCTTCAGTTGCCGCACACATCACGCAAGCCAAATACCTCTTCATGGCTAATCAAAGGATTAACACCGCCGACCACACAACAGCTCAAACGCACACGCACTGCACAAACACAGCTCCAACGATCGACCGCAGACACTGGAGAACAACCACTGGGAATGAAGTTTCAAAATTGCCTACTCCCAAAACTGTCATAATAATCGATCGATCGATAGATGTCTCGACCAGCAAACCAGCATAGAGATGGGAATAAACTATCCAGTCTATGGAACAAACTATTGCCTCTATAGAACAAACTATTTCGTCTAATGAAGAAAAAGAAGATGATGATGAAGATGAGGAGGAGGAAGATGATAATGAAAATGATGATGAAGATGATGATGATGATAATATAGATTGACAATCGCGTTATTCGCAGATTGCTGGCGTGGCTGGCTGGTCCGTCCATTGCAGTGCAAACGAACAATTTTAATATGAAAGGCATTCGCAGCAAGCCACAATACACCGCTGATCTCGCTTTTCTTCTTTTGCTGCTGTTTTTGAGTTATGAACATTCATTTCACGATAGCGATTAGTAGAGTGATTAAATGTTTATTGAAAACAAGTGCTTATAAATGAAGCGAATGAACGATCAAATGTGTTATTGCTACCTTTGCATATCTTGATCTTATTTGTTGCTAGGCTGTTGTTGCTCGTTTGTTGCTTACATATTGGGATACATACTCGCTTAATAACTTTTAATGAAATGATTTTCGTACAAGCTACAGAACCGGCGTGCAACGAAATATTAATGATTGCAAATTGGTGTGAATGTTTGTGTCTGTGAGTTGAACTAATAACTTTTTTTGTGTTAGTATTTTAAATCAAACATGATTTGTCAAAATGTTAAAATAAAATAACAGACCAGCCTGTGCACGGACAAGAATAACTGAACAGCTCGTTGTCAGACTTGATGCCACAAACTTGTTTTAACTTTTCACACACACACAACACAACACACACACGCGCACACACGCACACTTTAACGTATGCATGCCACACATATCCAACCAACTCAAATGCATGTGCTGCTCCCAGACAGTTGGAAGAATTGAACAACAACAACAACAACAACGACGACGACCACGATGACAACCTGTAGGAATCACGTGACTTGTTTATAAGCAATTTAAAGCAAGTAACTTATGTCTGGCATGCATGCATTATTGTATGTGAGAGATGCCATAAAAACCTCATGCCACAGCTGTTATTATTTCTCCTGTATGATATTATTGCCAATTTTGGCTTTAATGGCCTTTTCTCAGCTGCAAATTAGCAATTCGTCGTGAATTTTATAGCGATGTTAAATGTTCAGCCATGAAAACTGTCGGCGCTTCTGAAATGTGGCGTTCCCTTTTTTAACGGTGGTTTCATTGAGTGCTTCAGTTCTTTATTACATAATTTTTTTAGTGCTCGGTCGAAACTTCATTTTTTGATCGTTTTTAAATGTTTCTGCTTAAGATGATCATGAGTATGCAGATTCTTGAACGCTGGACAAGAGGACATCTTAATTAACATCTTAATTAACAAGTATGGAGCAAGTATTTGACACCTGAACAATTTGGCGTATCAACAGCTTTGTAAATATTACTTCCTTAATTAGTAAAAAACATCTCTTGGTGTCAACACGCTGCTACGTATCTTCAGTAGAAAAAATGTAAAAACCCTGGCTTCGTAAATCAGATCAGCACTTCTGCAGCCTGTCATAAAGTCATCGAGTTGGGGATTTTGTATGAGATTGTGAGAGAGATTACTTTTAAACACTCAACAATGAACGGCTTGACAGAGCAATGAGCATGTTGCCAATGTCTACATTCCACTGTTTGATTGTTTGAGTGTTTGATTGTTTGATTGTCGTTGTTGTTTGAATAATTAATAAACATGACATTATGCAATATATAGTTTGTATGTTTATATTATATCATAAATATTAGCTTTATAACAAGCATTCAGTGTTACAACACAACACAAAGCATGGAAACGATTGAGAAATGTAATTCTTTAAATTAGAGTTAATTGACGTCACCAATTGTAACTGTTGTCCTCCTATTGTTGGCCACACCGTCTGAGTAAAAAAACACCACAGCTCTTTCTTTTTATAAACTTATTTCAATTCTATTATCTCTGGCGGGTTGAAACATTTTTAATATTTTTCATACTTGCATGAAGTCATGTATGTAGTTGGAATAAAAAATAACAAAAAAATGATTCTACAGTATTCCTCCTTCTCTTTCATCATCCTCATTTAGTTTTTGTTTTTGTAATCATCATCATTATCGTCATTACATTCATTTTTCTCCATCTTCACAATAAGATGCACTCGAAAGCGTAGAATTTTTCTTAAGATGCACATACACACGCCCAAACACTTCTTCCCACATCACACGCTCACACACTTCTTCCCACGTACCCACGCACACACTTCCTCCCACATGCAGCAGACAACACACACAACCTACAACTCAGTAGAGACCTGTAAAGTGCATGTCGGATCGCTATGAACAGTTGCACGAGTCGCAAATTTCAACATTTCCACCCGCAATTTACAACTCTATATTGAAATTTTGAGCGTAATATCTTCTCTACTTTTGATAAATGATGTGCGAAAACACGGCGCGTTTTATTATGCGTTCACGCACGTGTGTCTGCATCGCACGCTTTCTAGAACATTCACAGAACAATGATATAGTTAGTAAACAATGAAAAATAGACCAAATTAAGTTTGCTATTTTATTATGTTATTATATTATTATTATTATGTTATTATTATTAGATTATTAGAATGTTATTTTAAAACTCAAGTAGTTAACAGAGTGTGAAAGAGAACGTAAGAAGTATACGTACGTGTACGCATGTGTGCACGCACGTTACGTACATATCTCTGTGCACACTTATTCAGATGTACACACAATGAACGGAATAAACACGCAAACATACCAATGTATACATTAATAAGAATGATGATAAGAGAGTGTGTATGTACGTACATGTAGAAGGCACACGACACAAATGTTCAAACAAATGTATGTACGAATGTATGCCGGCTCGGAATGTAGTTCGCATATCGATCGCGACAGAGGCATCGATCGATCGATCCATAACTCTCTCCCCTACCTTGTTTTTCTTTTTTATTTTCACATTTCCTCGAAAGATTTATTCATTTCTTGGAACCCCAATCCTAATGTCTGACATAAAATATAACTCAACTGGCAGTATCAGATTTTTAGGTTGCAATGGCCAACTCGGATGATGTCGTTTTTTGTCTCGGATGATGTCGTTTTTTGTCTCGGATGATGATGTTTTTTTCTTTCGTTATGCATTTGCATGCCACCCAAAGTTCAATTTCATATAAAGTTTATAAGCAATTTTTGCCTGGTATCGTCAAGGTTACGAATTATAAGGAGGACATGATTAAAGGACATTCCTTAACATTTTTTATTTTATTACGTTGTCCTTCAAATTTATGCAAAAATTTGTTTGTTAATAACCAAATGAAAAAATTGTTTACTGTAAATATTTTTTCTGAACCCAAAAATTAAAAATTTAATCTTCTTACAAAAGTTAATAAAATTATTGAATTGCCTCCACAGATAAACAAGAAAAGAAAAATCGAAAAGAAAAAGGAATTACAATATCAACAAAAACAACAACAACAACACTAAACCTACAACAATAAACATCACAAACATCATCATCATTACTGAACATGTCCTCATCACCATTCAACAAACTTTATTATCACTACCATCGAAACCACCAGCAGATCATCATCGTCGTCGTCGTCGTCGTCACCATCATTCTCTGGACAACAACAATGGTATATATCGATGTGCTGCAACTATCCAAGCATCATCCAGCCTTCTTGACAAGAACTTGTTCATTTATTTTATCGATCAGAGAAACATCGGCATCCATCCATCTATCAAACCAATCCAGAGGTTTGTTTCTTCAGCGGTCTACTAGATGAACATGCGTAGCTCTTGTAAATAAACTTCCACTTTTTGCTCTCTAAGGATTTCATTGCAGCTGTTTGATGTACTGTACATACAAAAAGATACTTACACGTGTATATGTATTTTTTTTACTTTTTGATACGCTAGTTGCTGTTGTAAATTAGATTTGTTTTGCAACATTTTGATACATTCGAAATAATTCAACGTCAAATAATTTCTACGACACATCGGTCACCGCAAGAGTCGGCATTTATTTTCTTTCAAACTTTCTCATCGTCATACTTCAACTTCATCCAATCCCTGCCCGCAAAATTTCAGCACACTTTAAAAGTTGCATTTAATAGTTTCCGAACTGTAGGGACGAGACATTTACATTGCGCAACTTCTCAATATTTGTTAGCATCCATTCTAGCTTCTTGCATCATTTTGTTACATCAAAAACTTTTTATGGATCAACATGTTTATATTTTTGCAGTAATATAACAAGAACACGATGATAGTAAACCCTGTCTTATTTGTCTATCTATCTGTCTATCTAGATCTACGTACACGGTTTCAATTTAAGCACTTTACGTAGACGTACCAAGCTTGCACGTGTAACGTAGTTAAACGTACTATAACTCTACTGTTGTTGTTGTTGTTTTGAAACATTCAGTCGTTTTACTGCATGACAATAATATTTTAATGAGCGTTTTTATAATCTTATAAGTTATTGATCAGTTGTTTTAAGATCAACTATACCAGCGTAGAGTACGTTCATTTAAGCTTTTACGGCCCGTGTTATCTATCTATACATTCATTTATCAATATTAATCTATCTGTCTGTCTGTCTCTTTGCCAGTATCTGTCTGTCTGTTTGTCTCTTCATCAATATCTGTCTGTCTGACTGTTTGTCTGTCTGTTTGTCTCTATCTATCTAACTGCCAATCTATTTTTTATCTGTAGAAAGCAAGGAAATGACAACGCGATAATTTCTTTCTCTCTATAATGTAATAGAAAATGTTTCGTTGGCTCGCTCGCCGGCACCAATTTGTGTTCATTCATATTTCCAGCCTGCCGCATGTGGCCGTCAAAATGGCGACCATTCTTTTGTTGGAATATATTATAATATTATATTTTCCTTTCATAATATAATATACTATAAAAAATTCCCTTTCTTAAAATATTATTATCACATACATCTTCTCTTTGGAGTGATGCGTGTTTCACGTTATATGACTGCAGTATAACTGGTCTGGGTATATGAAGAGAAGGACGAAGAAATAGTAAGTGAAAACGTGAAAATAAAACATTCTGATGTGAAAAAGTGACGCTAAATCTATAATTGACAGTTGGGAGAAACTTGTCATCTATCTGTTATATATACTAAAATTTTTTATCAATTTGACAGATTTTTTTACTTTCCACCTAACTGATGCTGGACAGATTACGTAAAATGGTTTTCATGTATATATATATATATATATATATATATATATATATAAATAAATATACTAAGTGTTGATTGTGTTGGCTATATATATATATATATATATATATATATACATAATCCTATTCTGTTTTATATATATATAAAACTAGTGTCTGCGAATGACGTGAGTGTGTAACAAACAAGCGTGAACAATCTGCGTAAAAAAGTGACAATTTGTTTGCTCATCATATACATGTTTGGTGTGTGTGTGGTGTGCGTGTGTATGTGTATGTGCATGCGCATGCGTGTGTAATCTTTTGTAAAATACTTAATGTACAAGTTTTTTAAAACAGGAAACATAGATATGCTATTTCAATTAGACTCCAATTTTTTGAGTTTACACATCGTCGGGATTTTCATGATAAATTTAAAAGTGTAGCTCTAAAAATTGTATATTAATGTCAAGGAATGTGTAGCTATTTAAACTTTTTATTAATTTAACGTACTTACAAGAAGAATAGGGCTAAGGAAATTTGTATTAATTTGTAACATTTTGGATTTTTATAACTTGCGCTAACGTGTATAACACACGCAAAAGATGGGTAGCAATTATTTACGAGTGCGTCCAAAGTTGATCAACATGGTAAATAGCTGGCGATACGAGTTTTGGACGTTTCATTTCATCTGATTGAATGATGTTTAGAATGTCATCGAATGTGTAGAAAACAACAAAATGTGGCAACACGCATTGACAATTTTGTTTATGTATATAAGAAACCAAAATGAATTATCTGGTAAGAACTTATATATTAATCTTCAACGAAATGGACCTCAACTTTATTTTGCGTCGTACAGAGAACTTTTTATAACTGTTTTGCTGGAGCATTTGTTTCGGTGCATCCTCAGCTTAAGATGTCTTTTTAAATCCAACTTGACGGATGACACAACGTCTTAAGAGCTTATTTATTTTAATATCGTTGCTATTTTTTATTGTAATTTTTTATTGCCATTTAATTTTATAACCAACTTTTAATGTTATTGTCAAAAAATGATACATGTCATGTAATGCTATTTTTAAATAACGTTTCTCTCATAAACTGTCGAACTTTTTTGATTTCAACCAAGCTATTTGAACTCTTTTCCTTGGTTAAAGTCTATTTTATTTACTAAAATTTGAAATATCAAAAATCAGATGTAAACAGAGTTGGAGCTCAGAAAAATTAAAATCTGTGGTTGAATAGTTTAAACGAATCGATAATGAAGAATTGTCACATGCTCAGAGCTTGAATCGGGATTTTGGAAAAATAGTTTTAAGACTGAAGTAGTAGGCACGGTGGCCTCAAGAAATTTTGTTTGAAAACCATATTCAAAACAACAAACACAAATCGTTAATACTAAAATTGTATTTAAGAAATTTTTAAATTAGTTTCAAGTTTAAACATTCGCGAACTAAAGTGAGTTAATATTTTAATATATAGGAAATGATTTTAAAGAGAGGTCTTGCGGTAAAGATATTAACCGAAAGATAATTAATTGCTTTTAACAAGCCCGCTAGGAGGTTTTAACATCTTGGCAACAAATTTTTTTTTGAAGCTGATAAAAATAACATCCCGGTAGTGATTACCGGGTTTAATTAGTGATTACCGGGTTTAATAATTTGTTGTCCATTTTTGTACAAAATGTTAAACTTTGTTTGATATGTAATCAAATATAGCTGATCACTATCTTTAGACGTGAGTCTTATAACATGTATGTATAGATCCTTTCTCTGTATCACCATGATCTTTAGATGTTCGCCCTATTTAATTCAATTGCCGACGTTCTCGTGTGTGTGCATTTCTTTCAATTTTATTTGTTATGACGACGCATTATAAACGTTATATATTCTTTTTATTAACAACTTTTTTAAACTGTAAGGAGTATTTGCAGATTTAATAAAACATTTTTTATAATGTTAATTCTTGTGAAAACATTTGACTTGTTGATGACAAATTTAAAGCTTTCATTAATGTTTTCTCAGATAAGTGACCAATAATTTTGTATTGGCATCTAATTTTTAAAGAAAAATAATTTATGTTCCAAATAAAAATTATAACCAAATTGGTGATTCTGAAAATGAAATAAAGTGGTTAATTGCGTGGAATTATTATTGCAAAATTTCTAAAATCAACACTTCACACGTAATTAAAAAATCAACAAAATCTGTACAGTAGGCCTATCAATGATTACAAAATATTCATTCAAAGATCTTTAAAAAATGGAGTAATACGCAAAACGTAAAAACGTTTATAACAACTATGGCTACTCGAATCCAAAACTTCTTGATCCGTTTTCTCAAATCACCGTGATAAAATGCAGTAGCAGAAGACATGCTTCCGTGAAGGATTTGTCTGTCACTGTTGCTAAACTGTCCTTCATTGACTTGCAGTTTCAACGCGAAGTGTCGTTTGAACATATTTTCTAAGAATGAAGGATTCAACGGAAACCTCACCCCGTCCCCAACTCTGATTCATCATAACATTCAATTATTTGAATTTCGTAAAAATTATTACGAAATTAGTCATCATACATTTTCCTTTATCTGGAACTTAAATAAATAATCATCAGCGTTTAGATGCAAGTTTATTTGTCCAAACAGTTGAAAACCTGCTGATAATCGATAGCTCACATTGATTGAGCATATCAAATAAGTGGTTTGCCTAGATTGCTATTACCTAATGTACGTCAAGCTCAATTTTAGAATTATTAGTTAAATGGATTCAAAATATTAGAGCTCAAGCAGAAGTTTCTTGACGATTATAAAGTAAATATATCATTTAAAATATAAATTACAACGAAAAATAACACGAAAAAGAAATTAGCCACGAAAACAAACATGCTTGAAACAGGTAGACCCCAAAATTTAAGATCACATCCGAACACTTCATAAATATTTTTCTTGAAGCCTAAGTTGAACACGGATCTTGAAGAACCAGTTATGAAATTAGGTGAAATCAGCATACCTTCAATGAACAAATGTTTAACAACAATTTATGTCACGACATTTTTAGTATCTGCATACTCGTTACATTCACTGACACCAATAAAAAATAAAATAACCCTATAACGTCCCTATATTGCGCATGACAGTAATAAATAGTACAATTTACTTGTAGATTGCAATCCTGCTATTATATTTTACACACAACATAAAATACGCGAAATACAAAACAAACACATGTAACAACTCAAACATATATATTTCTGGAGCAGAACAACTATTTAACTGAGTGTTGTGATGTTGAGAGATATAAGGATAAAATGCAGGCAGAACATTACCGCACTGACAAACGTGCAGAAGAGAGTTACATGCCACATCTGACGAAGCAAACGTCCATTGTTAACTTTTGAAAACTGACCCATGGGAAACAAATTGTTAAACCGAATGCAATGAAATCCGAAAAATATAAACATATAATTCAATAATTATACAAATTGCAATCAATGTAAACTCATAGCTTGAATTTGCTACATTAAAATCAATACAAAAACGTATAAAAAAAAGCAAACAGTTTTAAAATAGAAAATGTGTAATGAAATATAAAATATAAAACCTCAGTCAAACTCAGAGAAGCAGACATGAAGAGATCAAACATGAATCCGTAGAATGTGAATATAAGGAACAGTTTGTAGTTGCTGTGTCCCACACATTTGTTCATGCTTTTTTAAAGTTCAAGGTTCAATTGCTAGAAAATTTTCAACTCAAGTGAAAATTTATAAATCTATCCTTATTGAATTTTCGTAAACTGACATAACAAATTTACAACTGAATCACCGACATTCTCTGCAATAATTCGCGAATTGGAAATTCTCTGATTAGGAAAATTATTCCAGCAAAAAATTCACATTGTGTCATCATCATCTTTGTCAACAAAATGTTACCATAGAAATTATCATCATTACCATCAACATGATAACATAATCATCGTCATAATCATTAACATCATCACCAAGACCCCCACCGCAAACAGCACTAACAGTGGACAATGGTGGTCCATTTTTAAGACACAGCTAATAAATTGTAACAAAAAAAGTTAGCATCATATATGTATGTATAGGTACTGGAAAATTTTTAAAAATCAAATCATACTGGCCACAGAAGAAACAGTGATGGCAACGATCTGGCTTCAAACATTCGCAGTATTCACAATATCTTATTTCTTCAAAATTGATTGCAATATATATATATATATATATATATATATATATATATATATATATATATATATATATATATGTCTGTATGTGTGTGTGTTTTAAACCTGATTTGTTCAACAGATTTAACAATTCAATAATTTAATCTTACCCATTAATTCAACAACATGAAACCCTACAAAGTTTAAACATAAATTTACACAGCTTACAACAGAGCAACAAATTGAGACACATAAATACCTACCGCCATCCAAAGTTCTACAGAAAATCGGCAAGTTGATACCCAACATGTCCAAAAAGAGTTTTCTTTCAATTGGATTTTTAAAATTTTTAATAATTGCCATTTCATCTGATGATAATCTAAACTATAAAATTAATTTGAAAATAAATTTTAATTTTTCAATCTTTTAATATTTAATTAGATGCATTCAAACATCAAATATAATTCAGAAGTAGACCTCTTTTGGTGGATGGCTGAGTGGTGTGGTCACAAACTGGACAAATGATATAATGAACACAATGAAGAGGGCATTTGAAGTGGTCAAACAAAATACTATAATAAAAGTTACAAAATAATATATTAGTAGCTGGCCACATGGTAGTTATTTATCATTTATGATGAAAGAAAGGATATAATTTAATTACTTCTCAAATAAACATCCTGAACATAATCTGGAAAAAATTAACAAACTTATTTCATAAAAAGAAGTAACTGGATGTAAGTTAGGAGAAAAACACTTTCAGTTATATAGTTTTTTATACTTCAAAAAAAACTCCATTTTACTCAGAACTAATAATTTTAATTTTCTAGATTTTATTTTAATTTAAATATGGATAATTTAAAATTCGATAAAATAAAATAAAAAGAACCAAGAACGTATCATTTTTATTTCAATTATCATCAATTAAGCAACTGATTAAGATTATTAAGAATATTAACCTAATGAGAAATGACGAGAAAACATGTAAAGAAGCCATGAATGCAACAAAATGAGAGCAAGTGAGGGGAGGAACCAGATAACATTGTAGATTTTTAACAACAACAAAAGCGCCGCCATCTTTTGCAGAAAACCGTACAACAAAAACGCGCTAGCGACGCACAGCTGGTGCGACTAAAGATGACAACCTACCAAAGATATCGCGTGATAATTCAATAGTCATTCAAAATTATTGTATTTATTTGCCGCTTTACCACCAAATCGTAATGCTTTATGCAACAATTTTGATGTAGTTAAGTGAATACTAATTAAATCAAATAATTAATTGAAATAATAGAATAACAACAAGACATAATTTACATGTTGCATATAATTAACATAACAATAAATTTAACGTGGTAGAGAATAAATCCCTCCAAGCAGTTGACAAAGACATTTAATGTAACTAAGGCTCCCTTGAGAGAACGAAAAAACAAAAAAAGTTCATTAAAATGAAACAGGTAAACATTGTAAATAAAAATGCACACAAAGCCAACTATTGAACTGAAAACAAAGCTCCTACTGATAAACGAATAAGAAATAAGAATAAGTTTTTGGTCATGAACTGATTGATGTGTATATAAATTGTAAACAACAATATGACAAGATGTCAATAATATTCGTAGCATTAGGAACAGAACCAGTGTATAAATGAAAAGGATTCAAAATGTTTCCAACTGTATGACTATCTTTAAAGCTGAAATAATTTACTAATTTAATTCAAATGATCAAAAACCATCAGAATAATCCAAGACTGTTCTCTCAATACTCGAATGAATAATAATTTGCAAAAACAAAATATCTAGTATTTACCATTTCATACTTCAAATTTTAAATTTCTATTATCTATGGAACGCGTGTTAAAGAAAGTTTAAAAAAGGAAAAAGAATAATTTGACATAAAAAAAAAAGTTAAACAATGAGTGATCCCTCTTCCATCCACTTTTGATTCAATGATTTCAACGTTTCATTCACTTGGGGAGCGTGCAAAGGATTGATTGGGAAGGTTATTCCGTCTCCAAAGCTAGATAAATTTTTCAACAAATAAAAAATTAGCAATTCCTCAATCATTTTAATAAAAAAAATTTAATTTCAATTATGACTTCAAACAAACATTTTGAAAATTCGACATCAGAACACTTCAAATTCTATCGAAAATTTTGGTCCTCATACAGTGCTCAAACTTTGGAATTGAAATTAGATAAAAGAAATCAATCTTCGTTTAGCGTCCAGAGGCCCAGTTCCCCCGAGGTAGGACGTAGATAAAAGAAAGAATAAACATTAAAACAAAAAAGTAATTTCGTAGATAAATGTCAAAAATTAATAAATATTGACTGAAAATTTATTAAAACAATATAATCGAGTTAAGAAAATGAAATTATTGCAATTGAATAAATTGAAGATAGAAACAATTCAGCACAGGCAAACATTGCAAACATTTCAGAAAGTCTTGTTTGTAACCTTGTAAACACAGGAAGAAACCAAAAACGCTTTGAACTACCAAAGATCTGAATGAAATTATTGCCAAACCCTAAATGGAAGCCATTTTTGACTGGACCACTAACGAATGTTTGTGCCTGGAGCATTTCTTTCAAAGAAAATTTTTTAACATGTCATTTTGTTTACAGAAAAATCACATAATTATCAAAACATTATTATTTAATTTTTGAGAAAATGATTTAATTAATAATGGTAACAGAGAGAATTTAAAATCATTTTATCAGACAATTACAAATCAAGAATCTTAGTATGAAGAAAACAAAAAATAATTGATATGAAAGCAAAGCCGACTACAACTAATCCTAACTAAATACAAATCAGTGCTAATAAATAAAACTACAAGCCAAAATATAAAACATTTTAAAATGAAAAATGAAAATCACAAATGATTAAAATTATCACAAAATATTAAAAATTTGATTAATTTTTATTAAAAATTATAACAATTAGTTAACAAAACAACCCGATTTGGTCAAATTTTTTAAAGATAAGGTAAGTGGGCAAAATGGATAAAATTAAAAGCCCAAATGCAAACAACGATGCAAATATCCAAAGCATAACAACATGCATCGATAACCCTGGAGTCTGTTTGTTGAACAAAAACTGTTTAGCATCCAAAAATGCAAATAACAAATTAATTTATTTATTTATTAATATATTTATCATATTCATATATTTATTTATCTATTTATCAAATTCCATTCTTTTTAGAAATTTCTTCTACTTCTGCATGAAAGTTATAATTAAAATCAATTTAAAAAATATTAGACTATTTATCATCAATATTTTTTACTGGCTTCATTTCAAAATGAATGCTGTTAATCTGTCAAAACTAGTGCTATGTTAACAAGATGATGACTAGTGAGTTAATAATGTCAAACATGTTCTGAGCATTCATCATGCCATAATGTAAATGTTCTTAGAATGAGCTCAACAACAATATCTACAAAATTTCAAAATAATAACTGTACTACTAATTGAACTCTCAATTATTTCAATATGAGACAAAAATAATTTCCATTGAAATTAAATCAAAAAATAATAGTATTAAAAAATATTATAAAAACAATGAACCTAGATCTGATAGTTATTCAAAATAATGACAAATTTCAACCTCCACACAAACAACCTATCAAAATTTAAAAACGTACATTAAGAAAGTCTGTAAGTGATGAATAAGTGAGGAGGGCAATGAAGAGGCAGTACATCTCACCATACCACAAGAACAACACAAAATATTTGTAGTTGAAGAAATGTACACAATTGTTCACCCTGTAGTATTATATTATATATAATATTATATATATCACCTATTAGTTTAAGTTGCCTGGAAAATAAATGCAACAGGGAATTTTCACTTTTGAGATGTTTTAAAAATTTAAGTTGTGATTAATTCAAAGAATTTTTTATTTAAAATTAACAAACTGTTAATAATATGTAACGTCAGAATAATTTAAAATCATAACCAACCAAGGACAGTGGTGATCCATTTTCAACACACATCTGACCACAAACAAATTTTACAATTTAATTTTTTAATAATGATAATGAACAAACTGATGGTGTATTAAAAAAAACAAGTTATGAAAATAATTAAATTGATAGTTGAGAAAAAGTGCTTTGTTAAACGACTGACTGGTTGCAGACAGAACAATGATGGGAGCGGTCCGGTTTCAAACACTTGCATTTTCTGCAGTATCTGATGGCTGTTCACAAAATTTCATTGCACGATGTACCATACCATATCAAGTTATGGTGAATGTTGTAGAGTTATTTGTATAATTGATGATGAAGACAATGAAACTTTAATGGAAATATAAAAATAAACTATTGCAAAAAATGTGACCAGTAAAAATTCGTTTTTATAAATTAAAAATAAGTACATCAGACAAGATCAAAAAAGAGATATGAGTGAAGAAGTGCAAGTATAAACTTTGAAAAAGTTCTGGAATCAATGCAAGACAAATTTTGCACAAAAGATTAACTGATAGATGTAAATTTCAGAAACTGTTGAAAAAGAACAGCAGAGAAAGTTGAACAAAATGCAATTCAACAGTTGAAAATATTTCTTGGCAAAACAGCCATGATAAAACCCAGAAAAAAATTTGGAATTAGAATGCTTTAACCAAATGTATAAGAGTGAAGATCATCAGCAAATAAAAAAACATTTTCAATCATAACTAGAATTTTAAAAAAAACATGCCAGTCCTAATATATGTATACTTTTAGCCTAATAACTTTTAATAACTTAAAGAAATGTTCGCTGCATAATAGATAGATATATGTAAAACTGAATTCTTAAAAAGTCTACAGAGCACAACCTCCTGTAAATGTTCTGCATGCTATAGGTAAATTTTGACATGCCCTGGTCAGTATTCTTTTTATCTCTCCGGCATCTGAGCAGTCCTTCAACAATTCAACTTTCTCAGAGGAAATGTAAAACTGAATTTTTAAAAAAATAATTTACTTTTTAATAAAAAAAAATGAAAATAAGATAATTTTGCAATAAACTAAATAAAAATTGAAAATTTAAGGAAAAAGGTAAAAAATACTTCATTTGGTGGCTTTGGTGCACTTGTAATGAACGTTTTATAATAAGACCAAGTGAACAAAAAAAAAATTAAATGATATGGTAACAGTATCCAAACTGAAAATAAAAATGAAAATACAGTTAGGTAATTATTGATAATAAATCTAATTTTTATAAAAAAAATAATACAAAGGCTTACTTATTTGATCAAAATTCTTTACACAATCTAAAAAAATTAAACATGAATTTAATTTGCAACTAGATTTTTGTTTATTTTAAACAGTTTATATAGATTATGAGGCGCAATTGGGTCACAATGCTAATTGTAAACTCCATCATCAAATTTATTCCAAACTTGTCCAATTCACACATAAACAAAAATTACAAGCCAATTTTGACTAAAAAAAAAACTAAATAAAATAAAATCTGAGCTTATAGAGTATTAATAATCATATGACATAATTTAATAAGCATTCATAATACATAGAAAGTATTTTGATTTTATAAATAGAAGTTTTAAGTAAATTTTTAGTTATAATTATAAATAAAAAAAAATATAGCTGGAAATTTAAATTAGAATTGAATTGAGTATTATCATTAAATTATTAATTTATTATATTATATTATTGACTTTATTGAATATTAAGCAAAATTTTAATTATTTAATTCTAATTTTTAATATTTAATTAATTTAACAATAATAAATAAGGTATGGTAGTCAAGAGTGAAGAAAGTAAATTTTGTCAGTCAATTTAATTTAACTTAATAGAAGCTAGTCAATTTTTATAAAAACGATTAATTTTTTAATAAACCATCAACAAACGAAAAAAGAGTTAACCAAACCCACCAGTACAGAAACGAAACAAGAAAGCAAAGTAGGACCACCCAACCAGAAGTGTGATGAAAATAACTGGAATTGTTTTAACGCATGTGAAACAACTACGCAAAAAACGATAAAACATCACAACAAAAATTAATAAAAAATTAACTAAAACGTGACCATTAAAATAAATTATTTATTTTTTTGTCGAATTTCGCTGCCAAGTTATTTATAAACTTGAAAACTTTATGCTTTTCAGTTCACTTTTAAAATCAATTTAACTGGCGATGCTCTAGCCGAGTTAAAAACCAGACATCGCCGTTAAAAATTCTGTTTATCTACACACTGACCAAAATGTCACAATTTTCAATGATCGTTGTCAATTTTGGCAACGTATTAATTAGTAATTAACTATTATTAACGGTTGCTAATTAATTACTTTAATCAGCGAATTGGAGTTTTTAGTGGCAAAACCATGAGAAAAACTTCACTCCCTTGACCACAACATTTTTAGTATCAGCACATTGGTATTAAATTGTAGACGGAGAAATGAATAGTGAAAGGGTGGTAAACTGAATATTTTACCCAAAATACTATTGAAACCAACAATAAATTATAAAAGTAAACAAATAATCTGGCAGTGAATATAAAAACAAATAACAAATCAAGCATGCTCTATCCCAACTTGATGCAATATAAGTACACTGAAATTTCACAAACTATTCTGTAACTGGACAGATAACTTACAGCTTAAATTGCCAACATTGAAAAAAAACAAGCAGGGTTTAAAAAATTTATATTATCTACAACAGAAAAAACTCAGCATTACATCGCACAACTCATTAAGTCACTTAGAATTTTAGATAAAGAAGAACATATAAAACAATGCAAGGTTATGAAGTTTATTTACATGAGAACACAATGACATTCTAAAAGACTATTAATTGAAATAAAAAGCGACAATCACATATCTTCAGTACTCCACTTATATGCCATATCCCTAAGTGCTTTACGTTCATTTTGTTTAAGAAAAAATTGTTTCTCAAAACCATTGCTTCTATCAACACCATCCCATCGATAGCCTGGTCGAATGTTGAATCTGTTTGGCATTGCTTCAGGTCCTTTATATATAGGTCTTTTCGATGATCCAGTACATTCTTTGCTTTTTTTCTTTTTTATATATTCTAACATTGGATCACCTTCCCGTTCAACATCTTTCAACTTTTCGTCCAAATCTTCGTCATCAGCATATCTGGCAAGAGGTTTGTTCACTTCATGCAAAACTTCAGAGATATGTTCTTCCTTTAATTCTTTTTGCTTTAAACCCTTGCCCCATTGCTGGTACTTTTCTTCTTTCTCTTTCTGTTTGGCATCATTCTTTTCTTTCTCTTTTTTTTCTTTTACAAAATCTCTTTTTCTACCTTTATCTCTGTATATAATTTCTTCTGTGTCTCTATCCTTCTCAAATGAATTGCTGTCTTGAGATTTCAATTGCTTTCTTGCAGGAAAATTGTCTGGATCCAAATTTGTTAGTCTTCGTGGAGGAGATATGTCTGTGTCTTCTTGTGCAGAGTTTAGATTTTTTCTTTTGGTACATCTTCGTGGAGGAGATATGTCTGCATCTTCTTGTGTTGAGTTTTTTATAAACTTACGAGGGGGAGATGCATCTGATGATGCTGAGTTTGAATGCCTTCTTGAGATTTTGTTTTTTGTAAGTGAAGGAGCCACCACAAAATTTTTTTTTTCTGTGGCTTCGGGTTCAGAATCACTATCATGTCTTTGTCTCATATTCGTTTCGCAACTTTTTTCTTCTTTGTTCATCCAATTTCGAGTAGTAAATTTGGCAAGTAATTTATTTACTTTTTCTTCGCTCTCATACTCAATGTTAACACAAAGTGGTACGTCATCTTCTTCAACATAAAGTTCAATGTTATTTTTGAATGTTATCTGCTTCATATTGATATCCTCATCAATTATCTTCATTCCACCAGACTTTTTAACTGGCTTGGCTTTTATATTTTTACCAGCTTTAGACGTTTCTTTTTCCGATAAATATTTCTTCAAATAATCAGATTTACTCATCTTTATATTAGTAGTAAAGAACTAATCGTAAAAGCTGAAATCTACACGTGTTTAAGTAATAAACGTAGTATCGGCGATATTAACAATTTTTTCGTTTACGTAACACATCCAAAGAAGTATTGGCAAAGATCACTGGTGATTTCATTAACGTTTCTTTGCTATGCTGTATAATTTATAATTCAGTAGTATCGTTAATATATTACCGAAGTACGAGATAAGATGAAGACTTATTTTTTAATAAACTTTTATTTCTGAATTTCCGACGTTTCGCCAGGGTTGTTGATGAAATGAATGAAATGTAAGTTTATATACATGAGCATGGTTGTAAAATTAATATTGTAAAGTTGGTGCAATAAAATGATTTTAAATTTTTAAAATGTGTTTTTAAGCCAGATTGTAAAATTACAATGTGTACAGGGTGCTGGTTGTGCAAAGTCAGTTCAATAATGGTTGTAAAAAAAATTAATTAGTACATGATTGTAACAGCACAAATTTATTAATAGTTCAATAAATGGCTGTAAATTGTTCAATGATGATTTTGTTGACCAGTCTTGGGTAGCTACTAAATTTTTCGAGTTTCAGATTTGTTCATCCACACCGAATGACGCAATATATATGCACGGGAGTCTAGTATTGAAGTATCAAACAGCAAGCAATTCCAACCGACGACGCAAAACTTGTCAAATGGAATTCATACAAATTACAAGCGAGTCATCCTGGAAATCATATTTCATTTTTCAACTACAAATTCTGTTTGCATGTCAGTGTTTGTGTGTGTGAGTTTGTGTATACGAAAAGCAGCTTTAGAGAAAGAGAGAGATTTTACATTCGAATGATTAATTGCGTTGCGTTGATGAAAATGCATTCCTGCATGTTAATTATTAATTTATAAGTGTTTTGTTTAAAAGTGAGATTGAATAGAACATAAATCAACAAAAGAGAAGAAAAATCAAAGTTTAAAAAAACAGACGTCGTTTGATTGAATTGATAAAATGTGTAATATGAAAATGAACCTTAACGAGTCAGTTCTATTTATTATCTATCTCAACATTTTTCGTGCACAGTATTTTCGATAACATTTTATCAAAGTTTTATCACATTTTCATTTATTTTATATAATTCAAGTTGAATTGAACAGAAACGTCGTCCAAAGATCAAGAGTTTTATAAAATTTTATAATTTTATAAAATTTTATAAAGATTCGCATCAAGTGGTCTTCAAGTACCAATTTATGTGTTTCAAAATTTTGTGTTTAAAAAATTATAAACCATTATGCACAATGAAATATTCAAAGTTATTTTTTCATTTCTTTCTACGCGAATGTCACAGTTGGTACCTTGGCTAACAACGGTCAACAAACAATATTTGGGCATTTCATCAAAAACACAGCAGTGTTGAACATAAATAAATTTAACATTTATTGAAATCTTCGATTGTTGAGCTTGTTGGGTTGGAAGACTCAACTTTTTGTCAATACTTTGTATTGAGATGTTTGGTTCAGTTCAGAACGATGATGGCAATAAATTGTTAACCAAAGAGGAAAACTGGCGCACGATTATTTCAACAACACCAATATGAGTAATATGTTTGACTAGAAAGCATAATATAAATTAGAAGTTTAAACAGTAGCTTGTCTGATTTGATAGAATGATCGCATGAACATTTCGCTACGTTCGTGATGAACACCACCATCATTCAACGAAGTACCGACCGACGGACAGACAGACAGACACACGAACAATCAGACTAATTCAATTATCTCAGATGAGTATCTACAAGTTTCTCGGCTCGCGTGTACAACACGCTGGCATTAGTATGCCTGCATATATAATTTAAACAAGTGTATTTTACCTATGCACTAATACGCACTTGCACACACATATTCGAGTGAGCGGAGATATATATTATTTATTCACTTACACTTGAATACTTTGCTAAAAACATTTCTAATCTCAACATCAATTGAGTTACTTGATTCAATTGTTAGAATATTGAATCAATAGTTTTGTATTGTTAAATTTATTTTCGTTAAAATATAAAAAAAGATGCCAATTGGTAAAATAATTTTAAAGCCGAGTGTTTCAACATGCACAACTGACGAGAAAAAAAGTATCTTAACAGCAGATTTGACTCATTCAACCATCATTACCTTCAGAACAGAATCCAGCAAAAACTGTGCAGGGAGCATCGAGGAATCAAATAATGGATGTGCATGTGCAGATCAAAGAAACGTTGAAAGTAAACATGAAGCGGACAGCATGATTGACAAGACAATTGTTGTTGTTAAATCAGATGACAGCAATTCGTGTGAAGTTACGGATTTTAATTTAGCTAGCAGCGAACAACGTGTTAGGAATCATTTTGTTAACAATAAAAATGTAACCTTTGTCGCATCAAAAAGCGCAAACGTTAGCTTGGATCTTAACACAACAGCGATCGATGGTACTAATTTGAAAATTTTTAGCGAAAACCAAATCATTGATGAAAGTAATGAATTAAACAAGCAGCAGAATAACATGGAAAAAGTGTGTTATTGACGATTTATACTTGTTTTGATTAATCTGTTTAAAACGATTACATTGAAATAAAAATTTTATTACCTATAAATCATTTTGTATACGTATTCAATTTCATTATATTTAATAGTTACTCATCAATTTTGTTTGTCAGCAAGCTTCTGTGAAGCGCGTACAGCCATTTGAAGACGCCGATGTTATCTTCAACGAGAAAAATGCGACATTTAGGCTGCCTAGAAGTGAGTCTGCTATTCAAGAAGAGGTCAGAATCTTCAGTGAACGAGAAGAATCGTTAAGGAAGGAAAGAGGTTTTCAAACACAAGAGCCGTTAGTTCAGAGTGAAGTTGTAGAAATAATTCTGGACATGTTGTTGCCAAATTTGCAGTCCCAATCGAGTTCAGAAAAAAAAGATGTAGTAAAAAAATTTTCAGAAATGCGGTTGAAGAACGAATTGCTTTTTGAAAAATGCAAAGAAATTGATTTGCTGAACCAAGGAAGAATTAAATCACTTTCTGAGGAACACGATTTTGGACAGTCAGATAATCAACCAAATGTAAAAAACAATCGAGAAGAACTTGTTGAACTTTTCAAAAAAGAGCTTAAACACGTTTCACTAGAGCGATTGGTTGGCTTTTATAAAGCCGTAGATCAAAAATCTGCAGAAAATTGTCCCAACGAAGAAGCACCAAAAGAAATTCGCAAAATAAAATTATTAAGTGGATACAAAAGGGAAAATAGTAGAGAAATGAATTTTGAGACATCAAGTTTGGATGAATTGCTGAAGACTGATGCGGTTAATGCGGGTGCCTCACGTGTGTCATCAGGCAGTTCAAACCTTAGCAGTGAATTCAAGAAAAAAGTTTCAAACAACGAAAATGCTAACGAAAAACACTTGCTTGCGCATCAGGTGTCTCAAGAAACCAATCAAGAGATTCAAATGCAACCAATCAAGCAACAGTCTCAGCGATCAGACGAACAATCAGTACAAAAAATGCAGATACAAAATTTAATTCAAAGAAGAGAACGGCAAGAAAGTGAGCCGCAACCACAACCAAAGTTCATCATTCGACAATATGAACAACAATTTCGAGAAAACCCATCCAACCTCAATCAGCAACAAATTAAATTGAAACAAGGAGTTCAAAAAATAACAACTGACCATTTCGAACCCTCCCCCCCTCAAACATTGCAGAAACAGTTGCAACAGCAAATTGTACAAGAGCAATCGAAACCACCACAGTCTCATCAAATGGAAGATACACAATTTAGAAGTGAACAAGCAAGAAAGAATGCAGAGCCAGGCGGTTTCATCAGATCGTCCAGTCACGACAAACCTGAGAAGAGAATAAAACATGAAATGGCAGAAGCTAAAAAGAAAGAAGAAGAATTGAAGTGAGTTTCGTTCGGTGTTATTGTATCGTATAAATTATCCAACAAGAGTGCATTAATTTTTGACGAAATTCGACACTGAATTTTATTTATTTAATTCAGAGAGTATAGAAGATCCTTGATAAACTTCATAGCCGAAAGGACAAAACTGGCCTGATTGGTTTGAGCGGTTATTTACTAAATATCTTCGTATCATACAAATTAACACCTGCATCGAATTAAGATCACACATTTCAATTCAAACTTGAAAGTTTGTCAAGATGATTGATTCTTCATGGATTATTCTGGAATCAATTTTCGAAATTTTGTAAACATTTACATTTTTATCAATGAATTTATACTATAATTTATAATATTTATAACATAAACTTGACTAGTTGACTCGAAATAAAATGCCATTCAAACACACATACACACAAACAAGTACACAGACACACACACACACACAAACATATATATATATATATAGAGAGAGAGAGAGAAATCAACATACATGGATGTGATTAATAAAATGTAACAAGCTATCAATTGTTAGAGCAATAAATTCAGTCAATTGCGTTGATTCCAAGTTTGTTGCTTTTATTAAAATATTTGCATCAACATCCATCGGTCCGAGAGTGACGACGATGGGTAACAGGATTTCGATTTATAGCTGATTAGTGGAAACAAACGTTAACCATGAGACTCGATGAGCCAAAATTATTAAATCTATCCGTGGCGTCAAATCCAGGCATGAATTAATTACAATAGCTGAAATCTTTTCTCACTCCTACTCCTACAGGATTATGCGCATTAACCTGTTACATTTTTCAATTTCTAAATATAATTCCATACTTTTCCTCAGTTGTTTTCAAACCAATCTATTTTAACCCGACCAATCTCAACGTGGTATATATCAAGGTCACATAGCAAATCTTTCCCGTCAATTAGACCTCTCGAATCTTTTAAATTTATCCACTGGGAATGTTAAGATTTCGCTCGAACCGAATATAAATCACCTGCCACACCTGATATAACATCATGATCAACAGGAACGAATGAACATAGAAACATAAAACCATCTGCTGGCACTTACTAACCGCGATGAACTACTCAACTAAATTGACTTATCGTTCTTTTATACACAAGCTCTAAACTAAGCTGAAAAAACTTCAAAACTTAAGAAAGTTATAAATAATTTTATTAATGGAATAAATTGTATATCAATAAAAATCTTTATTTAGATTCATCTCAATAATCATACCACATTCTCATACAAATCTTGACAACTGTTCTACGGAAAATAAATATAAAAATATAGACAAACATATACACATACTATATATATATATATATATATATATATATATATATATATATAGCACGATAGCATCTGAGATTTCTTATAAACTGTGGACGAGTGTTACATCAAAACAAAATTAACAATACGTTATTATACAACACAAAACAGTAGAAAATAAATAAGTAAAAGAGTAGCGAACGCATGCATGTAATAATGACCTAAGACAGCATGCGTATTAATACATTGTAAATGCATGTAGTTAAATATAACTTTTGCATACGTAAATAACGGCTATGTAATAAAAATGTTAATTCTACGTTCCTTTGCTGAAATAAAAATGAAAAAATTTATGAACATTCTTCTGTAGAAAGTGACCAAAATGTAAAGTGCCTAAGAGAGAGAGAGAAAGAGAGAGAGAGATCAAGCACGCACTCAGATTGAATTGTAGTTAGGTGGGGGTATTTGTTGCGAGTGAGGCATTCAACTGAAATGCGTAACAAATCATACCTAGGTTGTGTAAATAAATAAATTAATGAGAAACAATGATATGAACGGTTAAGTATTTTGAGCATTTAGAAAAAAAATGAAACGGCCAACAAATGAACGTGTTTGATGATCAAACAATGTGCAAATGATTTTTATTTTATTAAACTGTACACAAACAAGTGTAATAATGTAATAATGAAAATGAATAGACAATAAACAATTAAATAATAATTGATTAAATTAGCGTACAATAAACTACTGCTCCGTGGATAAAAATAATCAATTCAATAAAAAATAATTAAATAAATAAACAAATTATCAATATAGTATAATAGTAACTAGAGCGGGAAATACATTATGAGAAAATAAAACATCATTAATTGTACGGTAAATACAATGTAACTGGCGCAGTGTGTTTGCGTGTGCGTGTGTGTGTGTGCGTGCGTGTGGACTAATATGATGAAAGAATTGTGTGAGATAGACGAGATGCTAAGAATAGACGATTCTTTTGTTGTTGGCGTTCACGTTCGAGTAGTTAGCATCTGCATTAGCGCCGCTGATGCCTAAATTAGGTGCGAGGTATCCATTGTGAGGATAAAAATAATTGTAAGGTAGATTGCTGCTGTAATTAAAAATATTGCTGTTATTGTTGTTGCTATTGTGGCTGTGGTTTTGAACGTTGATGTGGTTGTTGTTAACGCGATTGTTGCCGATGTTGTTGATGTAATTGCTGTCGCTATGAATACTGCTGATGTGATTATTGCTGCTGTTTTTGATGTGATTGCTGAAATGATTCCTACTCTGTATTTGTCGTTCATAACTTTCAGCTAGACTAGAAAATGATAGAACATTTGAATCATCGTTATTTATACAGTTTCGATAAATGAAGTTATTGTAAGCATACAAAGATGTATCGACGTGTTGGTGAAAGTTGCTCCAATTTGACATTGGTTTGTTGAAGTCCATTGTCTCATTGATGTTGTTGTTGTTGTTTAAATTGTTTTGTTGTATAGGTGTAAAGTGTTGTCGTAAGTGTTGTTGGGTGGGAAGTATATGTTGATGGTGATGTTGGTGCGACTTTTTGTTCATGTAGATATAATCAACTTTGTGAGAATGATCAGCAGTCATGTTGTTGTACGTTTGTTGGAGAAGTAATTGTTGTTCAGTAGGTTGTTGATGGAGGGGTTGTTGCATGGAATGATGTTGTTGCAGTAAGGATTGTTGTCGTTGCATGTTTCTCAACTTGTGTTGCATAGCATCACAATAATCACTATCACTACCCTTTCCATAACCAGAGTCCCTTGAATCACTTCTTGACTCCACTGACGGCGGGTGTGAGGTGGTAGTCGAATCAGTTCTTTCAATAGATTCGACAGATGGCGGGTGAGAGATGATGACATTGGCATCAGTTCCTTCGATCGCCAATGTTGTTTTTGCTTGGACTGTCACTCCTGTGCTGCCCTGCTCATTGTAGGGAAGAATGTTGCTGTCAACATTGTAGATCGGGCCATTATTATTGATAAGGAAGCCATCTCCATTTGCTCCGAGGTTATCTCTAGCTCCATCCCTGCTGACATTGAAGCCGTTCTTCATTCTATGGTCAGTGTTGTGATTGGTGGTGATTTCTTGTGGTGGACATTGTTGTTGTTGTATGAACGTTGCACTGCTCCTCATTCCCAATGTGTCTGAACAAAATAAAAACAAATTTTTAGTAGCTGAAGTTTTTATGCAAACAAAACACCTGAAGACAAAAACAAATTAGGACGGCCATTGTGAACAATACTTGGAAACAAAAATGATTACGAATAAATGGTAACATAAAAAATCTAGAAACAATTTAAAACAGAGTGGAGTAATGTACAAAACAAAGAAGTCAACTCATGAGCAAGTATACAAAACAGACACTAAGCAAGCAAGCCAGCTAGCAATTCATCAACTCACTATCATTATCAGAGAGCATGCGCTTCATTTTTTGCGGTGAAGAACACTCGTAAACTTCCATTGATTTTCGTTTTCTGCTTGACAGAGAATCCCCACGCACCATAACATCATCATCATCTGCAGCAGGTTCAAAACCAGTTGTGAGTGCACCAGCACCAAACCCTTGTGCTGGTTTTTGGTATTGTTTGTCATCCATCAGGTTGTCGTGCACAGGTGATGGTGATCCACACGAAGATATGGGGCTGAAACAAATGCCACTGCATGCAGTTGATGATGCTGCCACAGGCACTTCAGTTGTTAATGTCGTGCAAGGTTTGAAGACATCATTAACATCATCATGACTTCCATAATTAGCAATGCTGCCATCATCAAATTTCTCCAGAACTGGAGTGTTGCTCCTACTCTGGTACCTGGATGATTGCTGGCTGTGGTTTAATGTTACCAGTGGCAACGCAGACATTGCAATGGTTTCAGGGATGAGGAGGGGCATTTCAGGATCGGGAGACTTCCTTCCTGGGTCAACGGCCTGATTACTCGTGCTACATTCTTTCATGCTGGTACAATTGTTCATGTTGCTGTTCTCACTGGTGGTGGCTTCAAACACATCTTCGATATTGTCAACAAGATGATTGATGTTGACTGATGATTGGCTGGCATGAATGAGACAATCACCTTCATCTCTGACAACTATGTTATCCTTTTCAACGTCATTTTTTGTATTATTTGCTGAGGACTTCTTTTGGAAGCTCAAATTCAGTTTCAATGGAGCAACACGCCTGACGACATACATCCCATCTTCCTTCTGGCTCCTTTGACCATCATCGACACCTCCGTGTACAGTGGATGAATAACTGCTGTTGCTGTCATTAAGAGATTTGTTGTTAACGCACACATCATCGTTGTGGCCAACGGCAGTGTGGCTGTCGTTGTTGCACTGCGGATCATTAACAAGGTAGATATCTGGATTAAGTTGTTGATGCCCGTTGATGTTGTTGTCACCAACAATCTTGTTGATGTGATTGTGGCACGTGACTTCAACTGCGTAGGTTGCTCCATCCGCTCTTTCACATTCTCCATTGGTATCATTTTTATCACCGCAAATTTCCTCACAGATGTTCTCTTCCTCATTATCGTATTCATCATTATCGCCTTCATCATCATCTTTACCATCTTTATCATTATCACTTACATCATCGTCGTCATCATGTCTATTAGAAACGTCTGCATCCAGGTCCCTGAGAATCATGGCGTCATCGAGAGGATTGTTGGCGGAGGTCGACAACATGGAATGATTGCGTTGTGGTGATGATGATGATGCACGACGACGACGTTGTGATGATGATGATAAGGAATGAAGTGGTGACGCCGGTGGATAACGTGGTGATGCTGGTAGATGGTGTGGTGATGCTGGTAGATGGTGTGTTGATGTGTTTTGTGCTTGTGGTCTAATTGATGGTGAGTGTGTGATATGAGAAGATTGAGAAAGATGTTCATTCAATTCGGGAGATTGCTGCTGTCGATGTTGTCGCTCCTGTAGCAACAACATCAACATCTGCTGAGATGGTGGCTGTTGTTGTCCGAGTTGTGACAAAATTAATGACGGAGGCACATGTGATGACAACTGTGACGGCGAAGATGGGGCGGATGAGGTTTCATTTTGAGGTGGTTGACATTCCAAAGGATGCACGGCAAGTTGTGGTGAGGTGTTGGTTGATCTAGTACTACATTCTACGACAGTTGAACGATGCTGATGATGAAACGGTTGAAGATGTTGTAACTGTTGCTGTTTGAGTTGTTGTTGTTCGAGTTTGTTGACTTCCTCTGATAGAAACATCAGTTGTTTTTGAAGATTG